GTTACACCTAATTCCTTGTCACCACAGCCATCACCTCAGCATACCAAACTCACTACAGTCATCACTGTGACCTCATTTCATAGACCTACCAGTTACACCAATCTCTTGTCACCTCAGCATAGCAACTCCAACTCAGCAAACAACTGACTCTGATACTGCAAGCAATCAATTCTGCAAGGCAAGCAAGTGACTCTGACTTTGCAAGCATATGACTCCATTTCGTAGAAAGACAAGCCTACCAGCTATACCAATCTCTCATCACCTTGGTAACCAACACATCCTACCATGAATCGACCCACCACTGTGACCTCAACTGACCAACACATGCATCTGCAAGTTCATAGAAACACAAGCCTACCAGCTACACCAACCTCTCATCACCTTGGCAATCAACCTACCCTACTGAAATCAAAATTTTCGCCAATTTTTTAACAACTCTGTAAGATACCTTATATATTAAACAAATACACGTTTAAAACCCTAATCCTTGTTATTCCTTTCCTTTCACTACCACATGCTTATTATAACACATGTTATCCTCTCAACTAATTACAACTAACAAATCTTTTGTCATGGGTGGGGTTATTTTTTATTTTAGAATTTAGTAGAATCTTTTCCTAGGTAAGAAGTAAAAGAAAGAAGTTATTCTATCTTTTAACTGATTACAGATACAATCATGTGAGTGTATTAGTGATTGTATTTGAGGCTAAAAAATGATCACAGTTTGGCAATGTTTACCCTTCATGCCTGCAAAAAAATGTGTCAAAAGGGTGGTTATTTCCTTGACACTGCTATTGCTGTATATACTTTTGACTAAAAGGATTTTTTAAGGTAGAAAGTGGGAGAAGAGAGAACATCACCTTTCTTATCCTGAATATTGATTAACATGCATATGAAAATAAACAAGACTTGGAAATCTGATGTGATATTTGAAAGGAACAAACATTGACATAAAAAAACAATGAACAAAATACAATTTTTACAAAAAAGCTTGTACAAAAATTTCCTTTTGTGCACTTTATTTTTAAAAAGTTACCAGTTCAAGATATAGGATTATTGGCTTATAAAAAAGATATGCAAACTTTCAATAATCAAAAAAACTGCTGGTATACAGAAGGTGCTATTTCCCTTTTTGGTCATAGATAAATCCAGTCCATTTAAACCCAGTCTCTTCCAGGTCAGGAATATCTTCAAATTATATGTAAAACCTTTTTTTCTGTTCCTCCTTACATTTTGCTTTGCTATGTAGACATGTGATATATAGTTCTCCATGTGGGACATGCATATATATGGTTTTGTGTATGTCATAGTATATAAAAGTCTCTCTGAGAACAAAGCATGTTTGTCATTTTTCTCCTTTCATCCATTCCATTCTGTCCTGTCTATGAGCTACAGTGTCGTTGTATCACGGATATAACAATGCTCGTAATGAGAGAAATTAAATTGGGAGAACAAATATTTCTTTCCCAAGCTCTTGTTACAAAACCTTGAAAAGATAAAACAATTCCTTTTTTTTTTAAATGGTTAAAAATACACTTTAAAAAAATGTTCAAAACACATTCTTTCAAATAAGACACACTTACTTAATTGAAAGGCAAAAAAAAGGGCTTTTGCAGAATTTACCAGCATCACTAGGACTTTTAACATTTTTTTCCAGTTCGATTCATAGTTCTGTTTCTTTTTTTGTTTGTGTCTTCTGTAAGAAATAAGCCCCCCCCCCAGCTCATCCACTAGTGACAGTCAAAAGAGCTTTTCCTTCTGATTGAAATTTTTGTCTTTTGTACCTTCCAAAATTTTATACCCTCTCTCGTTGAAATTTTCTACCTTCTGATTTCTTTGAAATTTTCTACCTTCTGATTTCTTTGAAATTTTCTACCTTCTGATTTCTTTGAAATTTTCTACCTTCTGATTTCTTTGAAATTTTTGCACCTTCTGAAATTTTGTATTAACTCATCTTCTTATCTGTCTATATTTCTGAGATGAGGCATCATGCACATTATTTACATTATTTGGACTATTGTCCTCATCTTGGTTGCCATATTTATTAAAATGTTTTGGCTGTTGTACGCTCTGGCCTTCTTCAGGTGGTTGGAATGTCGAACTGAACCCTTTATTTTGCTCACTGGGGTAGACTGTTCTAGTTCCATGTGCCATGTTTAATGGATGTCAGTTATCAGTTATCTCCTCTTAATTCCTCTCTGAAAGTTGCCTTAACTGGGTATTGAACTCACACTCTTTGGGTCCTGTCACTGGATCTAACTAACGCCTTTATCCACTGTGCCATGTGTCCTTAAGGTGACAAAGAGGAGGACAATACTCCGAATAATGTAAATAATGTCCATCTTCTTATATAGCCTCAAAAGGGGCCCCAGACACATCTCAACTTCTAAATTTACTTGGAGGGAAGCTACCTTCATGACTGGCCAAAAATACAAAGGTGTATATCTATAGGAATTAAATTCTGTATATATTTTTCAACCAATGAAATCTCATCAGAAGGTTTGTTGGATAAACAGTCGTTACAAGGGCAAATACCACCAAAATTCTTTTGGATGTAGTTGTGGAACTACCACATGTTATTTTTAGACCTTTCAGAAAATAACAATAACTCCTTTCACCACTCCCACAAATTCGAGAAAAAGATTTTTGTGAGCCTGTGTGAAATTATTTTCTAACCAATGAAAACCTTCTATTCAAAAAGTTCACAACTCTACGTGAAATTAGATTTTGAATCCCCTTACAGATATAAAAATACTTCTTCTAGAGGTTCAAACCAATTTCTCTGGAAGGCCAGTTTGATCTAGACATGCCTACACACACACACACACACACACACACACACACACACACACAATGGAAGAAAAACAGTCAGCAACTGCTGACTCAGGCCTTGTCCATGCACACAATAGAAGGGATTAACCAACAACTACTTACTAAGTCATTGTCTATGAACTCAAAACATATTAGGCTGACCATCATAAAGTCTGTTCACAAATTTCACATGGAACAATAAGAACCGTTAATTACTTGATAAAGCAAACTTCACTGTAAGAAATATTGAACATTTTATTGCTATTATATATATTTAAAAATAATATATAAATGTTATTTTGACTAACGTTCTGCTTCTATTTTTCCTCAAGAAAATAAACTTTTATATATTTCATTTAAAAGATGTGTTGTTGTTGTTGTTAAATGCTTGGAATCCTAACACTCAGCAACAAAAACATGAGTAGACGGATCCCAGCATATCTTTTACAAATTTGAAAAAGAAATCTGAAACTGTACACTTTGACCAAATTATTTTTATCAGTTCTTTTTTAGTCATTCTATTTTTAGAAAAAATTAACAAACAAATGTTCCACATCAAATTTAATTTTTATTAATTGTTTGGATTTCTTTTAATTTGTAATGAGTCCTGATCAAAATAAAATAAAAATAAAATACAAAAATAAAATATATAAACAAAAAAAAATGAAAAGAATTCAAACTAAAATAAGGCATTTGTACTTTCATTTAAAATCCTTATATATTTATTTTTCTCTAAACTTATGTATAAATACTTCTCTCTAAATTAACCAGAAGGTAACCCACAAATAAAAAGAGGAAGAAGAAGAAAAGACTGACCCCGGCCAAAATACACGAGAAGTTTGTGGAAACAGAACCTACTCATTTGTGACTGAAAACTACCAAAAATCAAGGAGGCTCCACACATAACATCTTGTTGTGGTGTCTTCCCTCTAAAGAGTCTATGTTGGACTCTTCTGCCTACTATAAGATTACTAGGAGAGACTGCCTTGGGGAAGAGTCAAATAGATTGTTCATTACTGTCGAACTCTCTGCCTTGAGCAGAGAGGAACACAGATGAGGCTTTGCCGAAGGGCAAAGTTTTGTCCGAGGACGTATACAGACCCTGAACCCACTTATACGCGTTCTAAGGGGATATTTTTGGCTGATCTTATGGGCCCGGAGAACCCACAGTAAACTCAGCCTTGTGCCACATAAATCCCTCGTGGTAGGGGGGCTCTTAAATATTAACAGTTGAATAAATTGAACGCTGGGTCAACCGACACACACTCACTAGTCTTCTGTTGTACTTACTGTTAATATATGATATATCTGCAACACTTGTTTTGTTATTTCTTTAACCATTTACTTGGTCACAACACATCTGTTATGAAAAAATTAAATAAGAAAGGAATGCTGAAAAAAAAATAATTTTAGCCAGTCAAAAAAAATGAACACAATGAGACTTTTGATGTTAGCTGGAATCAAGGTTCTTGCCAGAATCTAGGAGACTGGTCCAAAGGATATAAGCTACACCTCTGAGTTAGAAGGAGAAGGATGGCAGGAGAGGACAGAACAAAAGACACTATCCTAGAGAAAAAGTCATGCATGATGCATAAAGAAGTAGTCAAGAAGTCATCTACTAATGATATTTCTGCCCTTTTTAATGCCGAGAAAAACACAATAGATTGACAGTGACCTATTTCTAATATTACTACTACTACTAGCATGGTCTGTCTTCAATTCTACTCCTACAGGACTTTCTCCAGCCTGCTATTAATATCCGCTTTATAAACGAACATTTTTGTGACACCAAATATCAAAGGACTCACTTTAAAACAAATAAATAAAAATATATTATATGTGCTTAAAATATACTTCATATGTTTGTTACTCAATGTTGAATATTCAAGGTAAATTTAGAAGGCAAAAACATGAAAATTAATTTTTAAGCAGGATTTGAATATGTGAGTCAATCACATCATGACACAAAACAAAAGTAAACACACCAAAGCCTTTTTTATCTTATTTTTTATTTTAATGAAATGTTTATTTTCTATTCGTCTTTAATGTGGGTGCCAAAAATTCCCATGAAATGCTTTTCTATCATCAAAGAAAAATGAATAGTTGTCTCCCCTTTTACCTTGTGTTGCTTAGTAACGGAGGCGTTTGGGCGCTGTTTTATTTAATGTATAGATTCGAATAATGTCAGAATGGCAACTCGGCAGCATAAGAGTAGAGTTCAGGTTTGGTGTAGGCTTAAACCTACAACAAAATTCGTACCTGGTGTATTGAATTTCTTGCCAGATAACAAGGTAAGACTACTATTAAGTTTAAAATTGACTTTAGCAACTTACTTTAAGTTCTTTAAAAAAAAAAAATGAAATGGAAGACAAAATGAATTCAGAATTCTTTTACACAGTAACTTAAAAATGAAAATATATGTGTAAAAAAAAAAAGGCTGCATTTTAATTTAAAATTCTTAAAAAAAAAAAAAAAATTTCAATTTAAAATTCTCTGTTCCCTCATTTGGTTGAATTATTTTGTGAAGGACTTTCTTTTTGGCGATAAGCTCTTTAAAAAATGGTTACTAACAACTTAGAATATTGATTTTTTTTTTTTTTTTTTTTTTTTTTGTTTAAAACATTTTAAAATATCCAAATTATAATATGACATTTCTTTAGAACAAAGATGTTTCAATTACTATTGAATTGACCAGCTGGAAAAGTACGTTATTTTTCAGCAGTTCTCGTTGAGTTGGTTCAGGCAGGTTAAGAAAAAGTGTTCATACTATTAAAAAATAAAATGAGTATCTTTTATTTTTAATACAGTCGTTTTTATTGATAATTTTTACGAAAAAATAAAAATTTAGGATAAAAACTAGAAATTGTCTATATATTCTTTTGAGTATTACAAACTTTAAAAAGGAAGCCTTTCAAAGCGACCTGAAATAGTCGTGACCGAAAAAAATGTCTTGGAAAAAGTTTTAATTATCTTATTTATTTATTAAATCAAATGGAAATAGCAATAAAATATTTTTTAATTTAAATTAATTTACCGTGTAGTAGTGTAAAACTTTACAGTAAAAAGTCCTTTAGTTTAATGTATAAGATTTTTTTAAACTAAATTTTGACGGTATTAAAATTACTTTTACAAACTAAACACCACTGTTAAAAATTGTCCTTTAGTTTAATGTATAAGAATTTTTATGAAAATGAAATGCAATTTTTATTTCAACAATTTTTTTTTTTTTTTTGTTTATGAAAAAGTGAACGGATAGGTAGCTTAGTGTTTTGAAGCCAAGTAAAAATCAGAATTTTGAACTTCACTTCAAAGATTAACATAGAGATTTGGTTAAATAAATTGAAGTACGTATGTATTTTTGTAGGGAAATATAGTTAACTTTACTGATGTATTTTGCGAAATTAACTTTTTTTTTTTTTTTTTTTTTTATTAAATATAACAAAAATGAATTTGCTTAGAGATTAATTAATAAGCCTGTTGTGCCGGGAATATACGGTCGTAAATGTCATTTCTTCTTCTCAATGCTTTCTCAAGAGAGGTAAAAAAAAAAAAACTGTACAAAAAAAAAAAAAGTCTGCTTCAACTGGAACAGACTGACAAGTTTAACAAATGTACCTGCAAAAAATACAAAAAAAACAGAAAAAGTGTCAAAAGAACAGTTTCTCTTGATTTCTGTATGATGATTTATACAAATTTGCTGTATTACTGTAACTTTTCTTGTTTTAAGAATATATTTTTAGAATTTTGCTAAAACACAAACTCATGAAACTGGATTTATACATCTTTTATCTTGACAAATAACAGCAAAAATGTTAATTTTATTTTTTAGATTATTGCAAGAATATTTTATTTACAGTATTATAAAAAAATATCTGAACCAACTACAATATTATGTACCATATTATAAAGAAATAACCATTGAAAACAGTTTTTTTTTTTTTTACTTATAAAAAAAATATCTGAATTATAGAACAAATTTTCTTCTATAATTCAGACACATAACATTAACAATCAGGAACTGTATTTAAATTCGGTTTTAATTCTTAATCTTTTATTGTCTTCTCTCCTTAATATTAGTTTTTCTCCTTCTTTAACGCTCAGTAATCCCTTGCATCTTAGTGGCCTTGCTTGGGGTGAAATGAATAATTAAAAAAAAAAAGTATTTTTCTGGACAGTTCTTTCATTTGCCCTCACCATATAAATTCACTAAAATAGGTTGAAAACATTTTTTTCTCAAAAATTGACAACAAAAATGTTGAAATTATTGTTCATTTACAAGAATAATTTGGCAAAGTTTAACAAACATATCTGCAAAAAGAGGTAGTATACAGTAATAGTGGTGTCAAGGCGGGTGGGAAATCCTTTTGACCCTTACATTTATTAAACTTAGCCCTGACAAAATAAGGAGAAAAAGTTTTTGAATAACTGAGAGACAAAAAGACAAGGTTATTTTCATTTTGAATTATAGTTTTCTGAGTACTTGAGGTTTTAATGTTAAAAACCTTCTTTGCCTTATTTACACAAGGACTGATCAATTTTCATAACATGAAGTTAAATAGCATTTTTTAATATTGTTAACTTTTCATATTAAAGTAAGTTATAAGCACAAGACCTCCACAAATATTACCTCCTTCGGCCTTATTCAGGTTTATATTTAACATGCTTAATATGAAGAATTGGAGAAAAATACATAACAAAAATTGGTTTTCCACAGTCTATCTATGCCGTGTTCAAAAAACCAAAGTTTTTGGTGTATCCTCAAGAAATTTTGTCACTTTCTCAAATAAGAAACCAAAAATATTGAATTCTTTATTTTATTTCTGTCGAATTACTTTTCAAATACAAAGGAGGTAGATCTGTTCTTTTTTTATTTGCATTATTTTTGATTTACAAATTGTGACATAATGATTACAAAAGTTGAATTATATTTCAGTTTTTACTTCTAGAAAAGAGTCGAAATAAATTTTCATTTCTGATGTCTGACTTTTCAAATCCAAAGAGCAGTTCAGAATATAAGATTAATTAAAAAAGTATTAAAATGTAAGGGAGGTAATTCAGTGTTTAGCATTCGAAAATAGATAATTAAAATAAAAAGATTGGCCCTTCCACCTTTGTATATCTTGCATCAGAAATAAAATGAAAAATACTCTTTAAAATATTAATTTCATTTAACTTTTTTTTTTTTTTTTTTTTTTTCAAGTTTATTCTTCTTAAATGTTGAATTTTTGTTGTAACAAAAAAAATATACTCAGCATATGAGCAACACCACCTTGATAGAAGGCCTGGTCAGTGGGTGGGGCTTCTTTGCTGACGTCACTATATGTAGTATAAACTTCCATTTATTTTATCGCACCCAGCTGGAAGTTGCTGCCGGCTACTCAAACATCTGAAAGCATCACCTCTGAAAACAGCCCGAATGCCGTTAATTTCCAGTGACTCGGCGTTTTCAGAAATTGAAACACAAAAAGAGAAAAACAAAACATAAACATACACAACTAAAAATTATGACCAAAAACTAAATTACATACACATGGTGTCCAAATGAAACCAATGTGTACATCCAAAATGTGGAAGTCAATTTTTAGTCGACAATCAAAAGATATTGTTAACCAGGCAACAATGCTAACTGCGGCCAAAATAAACATAGCCGATTTCTTCCACCAAATAAGATGGCTTGGGGGTAGAGCGATGTGCTCCCCCTCTCACCTTCACCTGTCCAACCCTTGTCGCTGACCACTGAAGAAGCCAAACATAGCAGCAGCCGCTGTCTCCACCAGTGAAGCCAGCCGCTCCCAGTGTTGTTGCCGAACTCAGCAGCAGCAGCCACGTTCATATGCGATAGTCCTTTTAAGGACTCCCAAGCCACGTTCATATCCTTTTAAGCGATAGTCCTTTTAAGGACTCCCAAGCCACGTTCATATGCGATAGTCCTTTTAAGGACTCCCAAGCCACGTTCATATGCGATAGTCCTTTTAAGGACTCCCAAGCCACGTTCATATGCGATAGTCCTTTTAAGGACTCCCAAGCCACGTTCATATGCGATAGTCCTTTATCGATAGTCCTTTTAAGGACTCCCAAGCCACGTTCATATCATAGTCGATAGTCCTTCATATGCGATAGGACTCCCCCAAGCCACGTTCATATGCGATAGTCCTTTTAAGGACTCCCAAGCCACATCAGTCCTTCGTATGCAACTGCCCTCTTAAGGATGACCAGGTTCCTCAACACTGCCATCTGCAATCGTCACTCTTCGTGGATGCCTCTTACGGGTGAACATCCGAGGATCAATCTGGACCTCGGATACAGCATTTTCCATCTGCCTGCTTCTGAGCTGCTGCTCCGAACCAAAACAAACAATCTTTTGACTAGCACTCTCTGATTTCACGTCCAAACAACTCAAAATTTCTTGTACATACTTTTGCCAGATTATTAAATAAAATTTGGCTTAAAATTTCAAATCCTTGCCTTTGTTGTCCTTGCTTCGATCGTATTACCCTACGTTATTTTTCTGCTTGTGGGGTTAACAGCACCTGCTTAACGCCACAACAATTTTTAGTGTTTGAGTTTTCTTGACTCAGCTTGATATTTTTTTTTTATTTGTTTTGTAAATATTTTCATTTGAAATAATTTAGCAAAAAAATGCCGTATGTTTGTGCTGTCCCAAAATGCAATAAAATTATCAAAATTGACCAAAAGTGAGTGTATTTAATTTTCATTTCCAAAAGATAAGGATTTATCAATGCATGGATGCATGCTATCAAAAGGGGAAAATTTTGCACTAAGCAAAAATATAGTAAAGCGAGTAATTTCATTTATTATTTGTAAAAAAAACTTTAAAATTTGATTTCATAATTCACGATACATTAAAACAAAGTAATCTGGTGGCCTCCACTGTTTTTATTGAATTCTGTGGATGGAATTATTAACTAAACACATCCTTTTTTAATAAAATTTTTGATACAAATACTTAAGGACATTTTTATAATAATTTCTAATAAACATTTTGAAACAAACGTTTGAAACGTCCACTCATGTGTAAAGTTAAAATTTTCTTAAGTTTACATATGATTTTGCCTATGTTTTTAGTATTTCTAAATGGTTTTGAATTTCTTACTGAATTTTAGAACACCTACAAAACTCATTTTATCAATTTAATGAAATTTTCGATAAAAATATAAACAGCATTTTTTAAATTATATTTCCCCCCCCCAATACATATGGAACTTTTCTGCATGTTATTGTAAATCTTTTTTTTACTATCATAGATTTTGACAAGCGTTTTAAATAGGGT